ACATGGGAGGCGAAATTTTGGATGGACGCTGCCTTTAAGTAATGAAATACTAATATAGTCTCATTTTAGAACGCAGTTTCATTGACAAATGAGAAACACTAGTAACAGTTACACTGGTAACACGAGTAACACTTGTAACACTGGTATGTGAGTAACTTTAGTAACACCGGATAACACGGGTATGGGTTACACTGATAACCTGGTTGTATGGTCAAAGCCAAAAAATCTTTGCATGCTATGTTTTGATTTATGGATATAGAATATTTGAGGTTGAGTGCTTACTCTCGTCCTCTCCCACATGTTGTCGCACTTTCAGCATTGAATAGTCGCTGTATCTTTTTCTTTGATTCATATAGCAGTACGGCTGACGCTCCTTTAAAAAAGTTTTACCAAAATACAGTGCATCTGTCATCTGGCTACGAGCTTCTCTTTGACTTTAGCTGTCTAATGTCATCTCAAATCTTTCAACACAGTGTTTTCAGTCTTATCTAGGAGATTACTTTTCAGTATCATACTTTCCAGTTTGATGGTTGTAAGTCGTAATTTCGCCTTTTCAGAATGCGGCTACCTTGGTGGGGTGAAGGGCCTGCAGTTGGCCTCAGTTCTGTGATGCTTCAACTGCCATTCCGCTTGTTAGGTACGAAATTACTGTGGTGGACATGGCACGATACTGATCCAACAATCAAAGACAGGTCTGTTTCATCTTTTTCTGTGTAGCTCAAACTTCCAATGCACACCAGAATGTTCTGGACTCCGTGGAGCTCTTTGTACTTTTATGCCGCGTGTGCTTGTTCTTTTGCATGGATGCTTCGACTTACTAGACGCTTATTGCTTGAAAAGGAGTATGACTGGATGAAGTAAGTGATTATTTTACAGTAAAAGAACTCGGTACTTGTAATCAAGCATCTTATAGATTCCCAAGAGAACTGACGTGCTCATTTCTAACTGGAGTACTGTCGTACTGGCTAGGAACTGCGCAGTTCTCGCTCCTTTACTATCCATTACATGACTTCGGGGTTCGTTTTCCCAGTTTCAAAAGTATAGACTGGAGAGTTTGTTTAGGTGCATACCGAAATTATCACAATTGTATTCTTTGCCTTCTACGCCCTTTTGGTCTTCGTTGCTGATAGGAATAACGTGGATTTGGAAGCTAGGAATGGTAGGTGGTTTTTTACTCACTTTAGTCCTTTTGGCCTTTTTTCAATTTTTCTATCGTTTGGAATAGCTATTCAACTTGATTCTTGCCGGGATCCACTACTGCATTTCTAACATCGTCTCTAATCAAATTGGACTCCTGTTTAGGCATGCGTTACTGGTTTGATGAACTTTCTTGTGCGATAACGTTGGAGTATATCTTTCTTATGGTGTTAGTTGCCACAGCAGATCCTCTTAGTGTCGTTAGCGAGGTAGTATTCCCTCTATACCTTTGCTGGTGTCCAAAATCAAATCCCAAACCTTCTTTAGGGCCTCCATCAGCCCATTGGACCATGCAAAACAATGGAAAGTGTTCGCGCACCAGCTGGATTGGTATCGTCTGATAGCGTATCACTTTTCAATCTACTGTCTTCTTCTTTAGACACTCCAGAGAGAGAAGTATCTGTGCGCTAATAAGTTCCGACAGAATTACTTTGACTTCCACTGTGTTCCAAACGGTACTCCTCAACAGGCAAGACACATTTCTCAAATAGTGATGTGCCATGATATATTAACGCTTGAATTTTAGCAAGATGACGGTACAGGGGTGCTGCGTCCTCTGGAATACTATGCTATATGTGGGACGGAATTCAAGAATCGCGCTGAATACGTCACCATCATCTGGTGAGGTGGTTCTTTTGTGAGAATATATATCATCTAAATTTACTGTTTAGGTCGTGTTGTGCTATTTTCGCTATGTTCTTCTATCAAATGGCTGCTTGTTCAGGACCAACACCCATTGATCCAGTTAGGGTAGGTATTTATTTCTTTTGCAGTCATTCTTTCAAATTTTCTTTTCTTTTCTATAAAAATTTTTTTGGAGTGAACGTGCCGTATTTCAAAGGCAGTGCATCGGCAGAATTTCGTTTTCCAACTTTTCACTCTTTCGGGGCCTTCTTGCTTTCACATTTTCCGGGCCTTTCAAAGGCAGCGTCCAGGCAAATCTGGACATACGACCCGCATGGATTCATGGAGCTTTCGCGCGGGGACCCACGCAGCACTCATCCCTCGCGCCATGAATCCATGCGAATACGATCCA